AATTAATCACTGGTTCTGTTTCAAATACCAACAATTAGAAAATTCAGAGAGAATGTGGTCTAGACCTAGTTGAAAGCAGAAGACAATTAAAAACAATAAAATTCACCATTAGCTTAAAAACTAAAGAAACCGAACACATATTCCATAGAACCTATTTAAACTGGACAAAAAAAAAGGCTCAAAAGATCTTCAACACTTCAGTACGACAACAATATTAGAAAGAACATAAATATGAAACATAATGAATTTCAAATTCGACAATAACCAATATTTCCTACCCCATTGCCATTAAATGTAATCATCAATCTTAACCTGAATGTACCCTACAATAAAAAAAAAAAGAGAAAAAAAAAACATACTTAAAAAGAAAGGACTTGATACAATTGGTTTATGCAATCAGATAAATTATTTAACAGCATAAACAGATGGATCATCAGACCTTACCATAAGTAATGGAGGGGCTGGAAGTAACATAATACTGCAAGATGGAACATACATCAAAATCAAAGAAGGAGCAAGAAAGATTTCGTCAAGCTTCACTTGTGAACTGACAGCTATCTGGAAAGCTCTTGATGTATGCCTTAACCAACCATCCCTGCATCAAGCAGAAGGAATTATAATATACCGTACAACGACTTCATATCCGATCTAGAAGCAATTCAGAAGAGCAATACTATAATCACACAGAAAATACATTCTTTACTCACTCAACTGATATCATTGGAGAATAATTGCATTCTACAATGGATTCCTGCCAGTGTTTGGATTGGGGGTAATGAAATGGCAGTTGAATTTGCAAAGGAAGCCAGAAAGTTGAGCCAAAGGAAAGAACAAATGTCATTATTTAACGCTAATGCTTTTGCAAAATACAAGATAATTAAATAAAAAATATGAAAAGACCAAAATGTGAAATAAACTCCGAGAGAAAAATGACAAAACTATAAGAAGATTTAGAACAAAACATTATAAAGGATGACAATACATCTGAGATAAGAGGATGCCAGCGGGCGACGCTGGCCTGGGACGCCGGCGGCTGGCCAGCCGGCCTGCGCGCGCAGGCTGCGCGCGCACTTTTCGAACACCGCCTGATGTCGCCTGGTGTTGACCGCGCGTCGCTACAACCTGCAGCGGTTCCTTCTATTATATAATACTCTAGGCGCTGGTGGAGTAAAAACTGTACTCCATCTGCCTCTTATAATTGTATGTAATTTTTGGACTTATTAAAAAATAAATTATTAATTTATAGTTCTCACTGCAGCTCGAACCTTTACCCTAACGCGGTAGAACATGGCGCAGTCGACATTCGGTTAATTATAGCCGTTTTTTAAGTGACAGCTCAGTGACAATTAGTAATGAAGATGCCCTCAAGAAGGAATCGCCGACCATCCCAAACCCCTCCAGAGAACCCTGCCTCGCCGACCAGCACCGACATCCTCAGTTCCATAGCCGCACTGTTGCAGCAGATGGCTACTCGGAATCCGACACCGACAGTCCCATTAGGAGCTCCTCCTCACCACGCCACAAAAATCATCCAGCTTCCTAAACTGGCTTCCCCGGAGGAGTTAACGATGTCTCTTTTCCGCGTTTGGAAACAACGTTGGAACGACTACGTGGACGCCCAACAAGTAGCCACCTTCCCGCTATCCACACAGCAAGTGACTTTGCGTGCCGCCCTCCATTCCGAATGGACCATCCTTTGGCAATCAGGCCGCCTTCATATTTCTACCACCACCACCCTCGATGAAGCCGTGAATGCTCTCGAGGCCTACCTACGCAAGAAGCGAAACCCCCTCCTCGATCGGCAAGATTTTCATCGTAGGGACCAACAAATCGGAGAATCGGTGGATCGCTACTTCGCAGCCCTTAAAGCTCTTGATGACTCGTGTGCACATGAGCTGGATTTTAAGTGCAGCACATGCGGCGACCCGTGTATTACAATATGCACAAAAAGAGCTTGTGGGAAAACGTTTGCCCTTGCTGGTTATCAACAGCAACTCTGTATCCGTGACAGGTTAATATGTGGCCTGTTTGATAAAGACCTCCAACGAAAAGTACTGGCGGAGCAGTACAATTCCGACCTCTCCCTGGACCGAGTCCTCTCAATTTGCATCGCACATGAGAGTGCTACCGCCGTGGGCGCGACTCTTTCACCCTCCCCAACCACCTCCCCCGAAGCCTTCATTGCAACCAGACGTGCACCATCAACCTACAAGCATCAACAAGCCAGCTCGTCTGAAACCTCACCTAAGGCCAACCGTTTCTTTCAGAAACCCTATGATCCTAACGACCCCTGCTCCGGATGTGGGGCGAACCCAAGACAACCGCCGTGACCAGTGCCCAGCAAAAGACATAGAGTGTAACAAATGCGGCATCACTGGGCATTACGGACGGGTTTGCCGACAACTGAAACGGAAACCCACAACCAAACCTAATATCCCGCCACCCGCAACCAGAAACAATCAGTCCCAACCAGGACCCTCAAACACAGTTGTTGCAGCTGGAGTACGCAACGAACTCATAACCATTCCGACCGATATCAACCATAAGTTACACCAAATCCGTTGGCTGGCGGACCCGGGGTCAGATCTGGATCTAATCCCAGAATCAGAATTCCTGTTACTGGATGAGCAGACCCGATCAGCACTCAACCCGAAGAACGTCCCTTGCGTAGGAGCCAACGGCATCAGCTTAAGTCCTTGTGGATCGTTCGTCGCGGCACTGCATCTCAACGGGAAAACATACAGCACTACCGTCGGAGTCTGCAAGCACCTGAACGCCCCTCTCTTGAGCAAGAGCGGATGCAAAGCCTTAGGACTTCTGCCGGATAACTGGCCCCATTCAATGTTCGTCAATGCCATAACCAACGGACAAGTTCTAACGTTCCCGCCGACCCCGGTGAGAGCCAATGAGATCGATAAGCAGTCTATCCTTACCCATTATGCTAGAGCGTTCGACGACACAGTGTTAAAACCCATGCAAGGACCCCCCATGTCTATCGAACTAGTTAAAGATGCCGTTCCTTGCAAACGCTACCGGGCATACAACGTTCCCTTTCACTGGAGAGACCCCGTCAAAACTCAACTCGATACCATGTTAGCGAAAGGGATAATCGAACAGGTACCCGTCGGCGAAGCCATCGATTGGTGCCATCCTATGGTAGTCGTCCCGAAAAAAGGCTCATCACAAGTCACTATACCAAATGATCTCGCCGGTGCCATCATTGGGAAAGGTGGTCAACGCATCAGGAAGATCCGGCGCGAGTCTGGTGCGGGGATCACCATAGATGAGTCTCAACCTGGTAGCAACGAACGGGTCATCACCACCTCTGGCACGCCCCAGCAGATCCAGATGGCCCAGTACCTCTTGCAGCAAAATGTAAGAGAACATTCCTTCCAGAAGCGATACAATCGCAACGCCAAGCCACTCTCACATTTGGAAGTGGGAGCAATAGTCCTTGTCCAGGATCACCGCACAAAACATTGGACCCTCCTTGCTAAGGTTCTCGAACAACTTCCACGCGGTCGCAGCTACCTCATCCGGACCGACGCCGGACGCCTTCTTCGCCGTAATCGCAGATTCTTACGACCTTTCGTGCCTCCACCGTACACCACCCCACCCAACTCAGCTCAACATCAGCAGACCTTATCCCCTCGAACCCGAGAACCGAACCCGCATTATAGCAACTACGTTGGATCGGTCCCAAGTCCCAATCTCCAGGGGGGGCATGAGATAAGAGGATGCCAGCGGGCGACGCTGGCCTGGGACGCCGGCGGCTGGCCAGCCGGCCTGCGCGCGCAGGCTGCGCGCGCACTTTTCGAACACCGCCTGATGTCGCCTGGTGTTGACCGCGCGTCGCTACAACCTGCAGCGGTTCCTTCTATTATATAATACTCTAGGCGCTGGTGGAGTAAAAACTGTACTCCATCTGCCTCTTATAAATGTATGTAATTTTTGGACTTATTAAAAAATAAATTATTAATTTATAGTTCTCACTGCAGCTCGAACCTTTACCCTAACGCGGTAGAACAACATCCAGATGGCACAAGAACCTATAGAACATGCAACAACTGTCCTGGTGTGGAACTAACACCTACCCACATATTCTCATGCCCGCAGCCTTGCAGAAAATTGACATAGACCCAGTGCAGCTGCTTTACACACCCAAGATAGTGGACAATGCTGCTGTGATAGAGATGCATGGAGACATCTGAGGCTCTTTATTGGACACGACAAAAACAACAACGGCATTCCAGAGTAAAATAAATCATCAGGGATAGATAAATATTTTAAAAATGAATTAAAATAAATATAATCGATACTGAGAGAGATTTGAATTAAAAAAATTAGAAAATTATTATTTTCGAAATTTAAATAGCTGAGAGGATTCCAGCAAACCGCATCTAAAATATAAGGTCATTTTTTTTGCTACATGTTTCAATTTGCATATACCTATTTTACATATCTCAGATTGTATTTAAAAATCGTTAACCATTTCTTCTAACTTTTGGCAAAATGGTGTTTTATTTATTTATCATTTGATATTATTAGGGTTCTTTCCTGGTATTCAAAAAGGAAAAATACGTGTCGTTCAGTTATATTTTTCAATTTATCAAACAACTTGGCCGCTGAATCGCTGATTCTGGTAGAGCGCCATCTAGAAAATAAAGTTGTAACTAAAATCAATTTCGAATTTTTCATTATTTGCCATAAAAAATCCCATTGCATCCTGAACACAATGGTGTTTACCGCACTGCCCTAGCGCAAATATTCGCGGAGTTATTAATTTTTAAAGTTGTGCGGGACTTTTGGATCACCCTGTATATATAATACACTGCGGCCTGTGATTGTAAAACGACACTTGAAGTTACACGGCATGAGTTTCTTTTTAACGAAAAATCAAATTTTCATTTCAAGGTGAAATATCGACTATTTCTAACCTTTTTGGATGAGGTATGAAAGGATGAATTATGAAAAGTAATGATGAACGGAAAAATAAAAGTGTTCAGGGATGGGAATCGAACCCACAATGTTCCGCTTACCGGGCAGATGCCATGTCCACTAGGCTACCCTGGACGTTTTTTTTTTTTCATGCGGTGTAACATCAAGTGTCGTTTTACAATCACAGGCCGCAGTGTATTATATTGTATTATAAGTTACTTTATGTATCATTTACGACCGGAAAAATACGTCCAGGGTAGCCTAGTGGACATGGCATCTGCCCGGTGCGCGGGACATTGTGGGTTCGATTCCCATCCCTGGACACTTTTATTTTTCCGTTCATCACTACTTTTCATAATTCATCCTTTCATACCTCATCCAAAAAGGTTAGAAATAGTCGATATTTCACCTTGAAATAAGAATCTGATTTTTCGTTAAAAATAAACTCATGCGGTGTAACTTCAAGTGTCGTTATATATATATATATATAGTGTAAAAACTATATAATAAAAATATAATAGTGATTCTATATTTAAAATTTAATGAGTAAACTGATAACAATGATAATTATATATATATGTGACAATATAGTGATAATGTGGGGAAAGGGAATAATCACGCCAGAAATTGGTAGAGGAATTTGGAAGCCATCCGAGAGAGAGGGAGCGCCACCGCTGAACGGCCGTTTGTGTCGCACGCCCCGCGCAAACTGTCCAAAAATAGTCCTCATGTGTTGACGGGCGGGCCCCATTTGCCGCCCCTTTGGAATGTCGCTGCTTTCTCAATTGACCGGACTTTACATCCCATCTCTCTCTGGGATGGCTCTAGGTTTGTTTTATTATTCCTGGAAGGGTATATATTATGACATATGGCCCCCGTTGAAGAAGGCTGAACATGGTTTGAGTATACTTAAAGCTGGAGAAGCCAGGAATAGAGAAAATAATTTTACAGTTGAAATTAGTTAAGGTAATGGTGACATAGTTTTATGTAAATAAAATATTGTATAGTACACAAGTAAATATTATTTACAAGCAGTTTTACAACACCGGAGGGTTTGATATTTATGGGAAATTTTGAAAATATCAAGGTTATAAAAGGCTATATACAATAAATTCTAATGTATTATAAGGGAAATGCTATTGAGAGGTGTGAACAAGGAGAAGAAGAGTCACATACACATGATGAAAATATTGAGCCATTAAGACTGGGAAACTCTACACTTTAAGATATGTTTTCAGGCGGACATGGCAAGGGGAAGACTTGGCATGGGCTTTCTATGCTATAGGTGTAGAGTACGAGAAATGAGGTTGAGGTTGGCTATTGTGTGAGCTCAGGACTGAGGTAAATATAGAACTACATACAATGTTAGAACCATGGCGAACAGAGCGAGGGGAAACCTGTCCTGGGCCATTCTACCTTATCTATGCAGTTACTTGTTTAGCTAGTCCGAGGGGAAACGTCCCGTGTGTAGGTGAGGAAGTCGAATGGACTTATATTTAATTTTCGAAGATAAAATAGTTCGATATGCAAAGGTAGAATATAGGCGGACAGAGCGAGGGGAAACTTGCCCTGGGCCTTCTACCTTAATTATTTAGATACTACTGGGTTCGTAAAGTCTCGTTGTCAGGTTAGTAATTGGTGAAGATTTCAGGGGATAAGCGGTTCAAATATCTTTGATCATCTTGATTGTAAGTCCCTGCGGTGATGTGGTAGCCGAGAAAATCTATTTCATTTTGATAAAAATTACATTTTTTAAGGTTAAGCTGGAGATTTTCCTCTGAACAGAATTTAAAGAAAAGTCGAAGGTGTGTAAGGTGTTGTACTGAGGAGTCAGAAAAGATAACGAAGTCGTCATAATAATGGGCTATGAAAGAGAGGTGGTGTTTGTGGATCAACTGGGTAATCACACGTTCGAAAATTTGGGGTGCTGATTTGAATCCAAAGGGTAAGCGTTTGAAATTATATTGCCCTTGTTGAGTCACGAAAGAGAGTAGTGGTTGACTCTCCTCCGCGATGGGGATTCGATAGTATGCATTGCTTATGTCAACGGTGCTAAATACTCTGGCTTTCGACAGGTTATCCAGTACCGTTTCTATCAATGGCAAAGGATGCAAATCCGAGGGTACTAGTTCGTTCACGCGACGGAAGTCAATGCAGAGACGCATGGTGTCATCGCGTTTGCGAACGAGTGTCACAGGGGAGGAATATGGGCTAGAGGAGGAGGTGATTATGTCATGTTTTAGAAGTTGAGATACCTGGTCCTGAATTTCCTTCTGGTAGGCATAGGGAGTTCGGTATGGTCGGAGGGAAATAACCTTATCGGAAATAATTTTGAGCTTTACAGGGGTTATGTTGAGTGGTAATACATTGAATTTATTGATAGGGAAAATATCTTTAAAAGAATACAATAATTGCTGATAAGGGATAGGTAGTTCTGGGCGTTGTTCGATAAATTCTTTAATCATTAATTCTCTAGAGGGGCATGGGCTGGTAGGAAGGTTATTAAGGTTGTAAGGGTGAGAGGGGCATTCAGGGGAAGGTTGATAAATATTACTAAGGGTTGTTTGTAAGCAAGGCTCACGTGGAGGTTGAAAATCGTCAACGCCTAAGTTAACCGAGTGAATTATGGGTCGTTTAGGGTTAGAAGTTATTATTCGCGGGCCGTGCTTACAAGTGGGAAGGTCACATACAAAATGGTACAAATGTTTAGGTACTGGAACACTATTTTGAAGTGTCAATTGATTATGAAAATCTATTTTTAATCTTAAGAATTGCATAACATGAATAGATAGAATACCAAGTTCAAGGGGTGAATTTAAAATACAAAATGTTTCATTAAAATTAAAATTATTAAATTGTATTGGTAAAGTAACTAATCCGATTGGTTTGGCCTGACTAGATATAGTACGGATAATAACATCATTGTTAATAGGGGTGGAACAAATGAAACTATTAAAATTTTTAATATATTCAAATTGATTTAAACTAATTATGGAGACATTGGCTCCATAATCAACTAGGAATGGCATCTTTAAAGAATGAATGATAGGGGTTAAAACAATTGCACTTACAGGCGTATGCTGGGTTAGGGTGCAGGTAGGTTCATTGAGCTTCGGAGGAGTTCTGCTGCCGAAGTTGGCATTACTTGGTTTCTCCCGAGCTCGTCGTTGCTGCGGTCTCGTAGACACCTGCAGGGCGAGTCGATCTTTGGGGTTGCTCGACGTTGTGGACCGCAGGTGTAAAGGTCCGAAAGGGCCGCTGGTAGGGCCCTCGCTGCTGACACTGTGCGTGCCAGTGTTGTCCGCCACAGTAACGACAAGGATATGGTGGGGTCTTGTCCACGGTGGTGGAAGGTGCTCTGCTCTGGCGCGGTGATCGTTGTTGGGCAGCTTTAGTGCTGGTGTTATCCCCTTCGTAGGTCAGCTGTTGGGCTAAGCACAACCATTCTTCTGGTTCCTAGGGTTGTGCCATCTTTAAAAGGTTGCCATAGTTACGTGGCACACCGTTGGATAGTGCTTGTACGATGGCACTCTTAGGGAGGTTGATCGCCAATCCTATTCGGACCTTGTTCTTGTAGTAGGTCTCGATCTCGGCCATCGATGTGCATTTAAGCTCATAGAACTCTTGAAGAGTGAAGCTAGGGCGTCGGGGATAGACGGCGCAGAGTGACTCCTTGACCTCTTCATAAGTCTTATTGAGTAGAGCTAAGTCTTGTGCAATTTTGCGAGGTTCGCCTCTGAGTGATGATAGAGCCTTTCGAGCTTGGCGTGCTGGCTCTAAGTTGTGGAAGTTCGGCTGAGACTCAAGTTGTGAGAAGAAGTGTGCGGCAGGTTCATCTCCGTCGTAGGTGATTGCTTCTTCAGGCTCACGGTTTAAAAGTTGGTCGAGGCAGAGGGTGAGAGTTTGAAGGGAAGCGGCTACAGTAGAGTCGGTCGTTGAGTCTTGTGGAACTTGGTTGTGGGTTTGTCCGATCATCGTGGTATTGCTTCTTGTTTTCTTCATACTCTGGTATATGAGGGATTTGTTTCCCGGCCAGGTCTTATCCTGTCGACTTTCAATGTGACAATATAGTGATAATGTGGGGAAAGGGAAATAATCACGCCACAAATTGGTAGAGGAATTTGGAAGCCATCCGAGAGAGAGGGAGCGCCACCGCTGAACGGCCGTTTGTGTCGCACGCCCCCCCGCAAACTGTCCAAAAATAGTCCTCAGGTGTTGACGGGCGGGCCCCATTTGCCGCCCCTTTGGAATGTCGCTGCTTTCTCAATTGACCGGACTTTACATCCCATCTCTCTCTGGGATGGCTCTAGGTTTGTTTTATTATTCCTGGAAGGGTATATATTATGACATATATATATGTATATATAATATATACTCTTCCAGGAATAATAAAGCAAACTTACAGTCAACCCAGAGAGAGACGGGCAGCTAAAGTCCGGTCATTTAAGACACCAGCGACATTCCAAGGGGCGACGAAAGGGGCCCGTGAGTTCTCGGGACTATTAAGACAGTTGGGGATTGTGTGCGACACGAACGGACGTCCTGCTGTACCGGACCCGTCTCTCCCTCTCTCTCTGATTGCCTGGGTTCCTCTTCCAAACTTGTGGTGTGATTATTTCTCTTCCGACCTTATTATTATATTTCCACATATATATATTTATTTTTTATGAAATTAAATATTCCAACAATATATATATATATATAGATATATATGGTAATTTAAGCCAACAACCCTATATTGTATACTACTTATAACAAGATTGTCATGTTGTATATAGAGACACATCTATAAATAATTATACGCATGATTGACATGTGTCATTGCATCACCATATGTAATGTACTTTGTACAATCTAAGGATAAATAAATAAAACTATGTAATAGATTAAGAGCTGAGTTAAAGCAAGATTGAGAAGTTCAAAAACGTCTAAAATCAAGAGAGAAATCCGACAACCTTAAAAAGGAATGTGGCAGCCCGTTGCCATTAAGATCAAAGGGTGCAAAATTCCGCAGACGTTCAAAGTCCAAATTCTCACATCTCCCCCCCCCCCCCCCCCCCCTCCTCGGGAATGGTATATAAAAAACCTCGGTTTTAGCCCTTTTTTAGAGAGTCACTTCACCGTCGGCGTGAGCC